ACAGATGCAAATAGAAACCTGAAATGAACAGAGGCAGAGGAATAAGCAGCTCAGGCAAAGGATCAGCTCCATTCTTGGGGGCCTTGTCCTGCCTGATTAATCAGTGGAAAGTTGGTCCTCACTGATGATCCTCAGGAACCTGATAACTGCATTAATAGCCCAGAGAAATGTAGAAGAGTGGCTTACTTAGGAGGCTGATTTCTTCTGAGCCAGTAGGCAGTGACAATAAGGTAGTTTTACCATGCTGAGAAGCAAATAATCTGTTGGCCACCCCCTACCCTACTCTCTAAATGTGTTTAGATCACTAATGAAAATGAGTGCAGAGGCTTCCCCCAGGTCAACACTTTACACATCAGAAAAACACTACACAATTCAGCTGAGCGACAAGGCTTCTCTCAGATGCCATACAGGCTACTGAAATAGAAGTAGAAGCTTGCGGGTCAAAAGAGGCATGAATTCTTAATGCCCCAGGAGGCCAAGGACAGAATAGCAGGGGCAGTTCCATATTTAATTATTTATCAAGTTCATTTATAAAAATAAACCCAATACCTAGATCAGTTGGTGCATAAGAGAGAGTAGCATGTATATCAATAAATAATATGGACAATTCAGTTCTCTGCAAAATTCTTCTCTTCTTATATCTTAAGGATAAAATGTGACTCATATGGTAGCACACAATATCTGGCATCCCATATTTCTGTTTTATGAACAGTGCCCCAAGCCACAAATATACCTAGGATATAAACTCGCCACCCAGATATGAGGAAACCTTCTTGCTTATTCCTCTAAATTTGTGTTTAAATGACAATAACAATAATAGCAGCTACACTTCCACCAATGCCTACATATTTCATTTCAAATAATATATAGAGAAAAAACTACCAGTCATGTATGCTTATATGTACACAATCACTAATGTATATTTTTATCCTAATGATCATTTTGCAAAATAGAACTTAATATTCCCATTCTACAGATGATATATGGTTCACAGAAATTAAGACCTTTGCTCAAAATCAATCAGTAAACATCAAGGGGGAAAGTGAATTCCAACATCTTGCATTATTTGGCCAGAACTTGATATTTGACATCATCAGAAATATGTGTCAAGAGAGGACAATCATATTTAGCAGGAGGGGTCAAATGTCATTCACTCTAATACATAATCTGTAAGTGGCAATAATAATATTGATTTGTATTTAAAGTTTTTCATAGTTCCAATTTTTTTTCTCATATAACATACATTCATTCAAAAATGATCTCTGTTGTACAAAGTAACTCTAATGTGTTAGATATACAAGTGAGAAAACATAGTTGTTTCCTTTATGAAGATTACAATCTAAGGAGGAGAAAGGGCAGGAGTCCATATAATAAAAACTATGATAACAGGAATCAATACTCAGTAAGTAAAGATACAGGTCCTCTAACTTAGCTGATGGTTGAGAGAATTTCCTTGGTACTTTGAAATGAATTTCATGGTTTGTTTTAATCACAAATTGACATTAGAAAAATAAAAAGGATGTAGGGAAGGCAGACAACATTTTTAGCAAAATGTATAGTTGTGCCACAAAAAATATGGTACAGGATCATGTCTTTATTCATTTTCATGCTGTTGACTATAATCTGAACAGAGCACATTTCTAAGGGCATTGGTAGGAGAAGAAACTACAGAGAAAACTCAGAGGACAGATTTGTGTTTAATTTTAATGTGATAATGGAAGGGGTTTGACCTCCATTCTGCATTGTAGTTTTAGAGGAACTTTAAAGAGATCAAGGGACATGGTTAGATCTTTACTTAGGAAGAGCATAGCATGACATGAAAATGGGAATAAAGTTGGGAGATCATTGATGGTTATAAGAGATTTATTTATAACAGGGAATCAAGATAGGAATTTATCATAGTAATCCATGCAAAATTGAATACCTTATTTGAGACGGTGCAGAATAATGCAACTGGGGACAGGCAAGGAATATACTGAGACTGTATCATAAGAGATCTGGACTAACAGTTACAGAGGACTGAATGAAAGAGGATATTCTGTCTTACCACTCAGTCTTTTGGTAAGAGTGACTGAGTGGTTACATGCTATTGGGACAACGATTCTTTTAGCTTGGTAGGTCAAGTAGACAGGTTATCATCATTTTTCATATAATGAAATTGAAATGCTGAAAACTAAATTATTGTGGTCTACTAGGCTATACTATTTCCAAATTTAGACAAACCAAGGTGAGAAGAAGATATTGATATGACAATATGTCTGAAGAGATTTATTTAAATTCACATCAGTGAATTGATAACTAAAAGTCAAGTCAGCATGCTTACATAATTAAATTACTTTCAAAATAGAGTTCAAAAAACATTCCAGAAACAGTAATCATTGTTATTCATCTAAAGTTGGAAGTAAAATACAGACCCTACCTATATTAAGAAGAAATCAAAATAATGGAGAGGCACTATAAGCCAGTAATTCCATCAAACATCTGCTTCTCAGCCTTGGTAACACTCCCTCTCTGCTAATTTAAACTTTTAATATTGAGCTAAACTGATCATCTGTCCAATTTCTTTGGTTTTATAATAGTGAGGATTTCTCAATTATAGTATACATTTTTTATCCTTGCATTTAAGATTCTTCTTATCTAATACAGATAACACACAAGATGGATAAGCACAGGTGGAAGTAGTCAATGATGTTTATTTTAACAATAACAAGAACAGAGGGGCCCTTATGAGGTTCTGGGTGCAGAACAGAAGTCAGACACAAAGAGCCCAGGAAGGATGGGGTTGGGGCTTCCTTGTCCCCTCATGCTATTTTTGGTAGAATGTCCTTACCAAGTGTGACAGTTGACAACTTCTCAGCAACAACTTATTGGTCATATCAGATCAACATTTTGTAAGTTTAAAAAATAAGGAAAATTTCTCGCAGGTTACAAAGAGGCAAAATTCATTTACATGTTGATGTTTTCTGCCAAACACATTCTTCTACTTTTTAATTTTTTTTTTTTGCTTAGAAATGTTTTATGTATGGCACAGAATCTTTTATTATACATTTCTATGAGATTGGACACATGATCACATTTGGGTGACTACCATCACTATCAGGACACAAAACAGGTGCATCACTCAAGAAAATTCCTTCTCACCACCCTTTGTAGACAATCCTCCTCTAACTTCTAATTACAGATAAACATGAAGCTGTTCTCCAGCCCCATGAATTTGTCTTTTCCAGAAACTGTAATTCAAATAGAATTATACAGTATTATATAACTATGTGATGAATTTTTAGTCAAATGAGTTGACTCAATACTGCCTTTGACATTCATCAATACTGTTGCATTTATCCATGTCTCACTTCATCATTTTTAATTTTACTGAGTTAAAAATATCCTAAAATTTTCTTATTAAATGTGTTTTTAAATAATTTAATTTTTGTTGGAATATTCCTAGAGTTGGTCAAAAATCAATATAATCAACTTTAGTACATTTCAACATCATTCCCAAAAGAAAGCCCGTAGCCATTAACAATCATTCTTTATCTCCAACACCCTGCCATATCCCACCAAACGCATGACTCTAGAAAACCACCAATGTTTCTGTCACTCTGGGTTTGCTTACCTGGTTATTTCATATAAAACCAAATCATAAAATATATAGTCTTTTGTTCTTGAGTCTTTCATTTAGAATAATATTTTCAAGGTCCATCAATATTATACTATGTATAAGAACTTCATTTGTGCTATCAATAAATTACCTCCCTTTTGGGTACACATATATATATTTTTTTCTTGTTATTTATCCATTTATTATCAATTTATACACATTTGGATTGCTTCAACTTGTTTTTTTTAACATTAACGCATTAACACATTTATTCAAGAGATAATATTTAAGAAGAGGTAAATTCTAAACAAAAGAAAAATTTGCCAGTTAACCACTCTACAGTAAAAAGTAGAAGTGGGTACCATTTATGACACATAAATAAATTCCACCTTAAAGTTTCTAAATAAAGCTGTAATCACTTCTTTATCATTTAACTTTTGCTATTTAATAAGGCTATGTGAATTGTGTTCAGAAACTTTTGACAACACATACAAACTTCAAATTGAAGTACCACCTAGGATTTTTAGTTCAGGCTGAGTACCTGTAAATACCTAGGATCTATAACTTAAGACTGCATATTAATATATGAATTCAATTTGAATCACCTTCACTACATTCACCAAAATTATTTTTAAAAATAATTAGATCAATGTTTATTATGACTTTATAACTCTCTCAAACATCTCAGTATTTAACATGGTAGATTCAAAAATAAATATTCAAGGCCTCTTTTAAAATTTTCTTTCAATATAATCCACGCTAATAACAAATGTTAAGAGCACTACTATCTGAAAATAAAGCAAAGTAGCTTTCTTCTAAAACTTATATATTACAATACAGATTGCATTCTGTTCCATAATTCTGATAATCTTTTTTGGTAATGAAACAATTTAGGATGATTCATTTAAGATGATTCATTTCTTGGGAAATCTTAATGGCAGTCACTCAACAAAATCATTCATTCTTGGAGTAACAAACACTCAAAAACTACTGTTGGCAGTGACCAAGTTTCTGTTTTTTTTTTTTTTTGGGGGTGGTTATTGCTTTAGTTGGCAATATCTGAATTTACGACATCTCCCATTAAGCCTTATGTGAAATATTACAAAATTCATACAGAAGACTCATAGAGGCTATAAAGCTGATGTTTTAAATAACTTACCCTTGAAATAGGTGCAATTTTTAGAGGATATCCAATAACTTTTTTGCTCTAAAAATATATGCCCCTACTTTTCAGTGTTCCCATTCAACAGGAGACTTGAGCAGCTTAACAGTTTTGCTATAAGAAAACCACTCTTCTTAACAAACCAAAAATGTAAAAGGAAACCAATAAAGGACATATTTTTCACAGTTAACAATAAATAAAAGTGCACTAAGTGTTCAAGTAGGGCACGTAGTTTAAAAACTACATGTGACTATTTGGCATAGGCCATCTTTTAAAGGCCCTCTGAGGGTCCCTGCCATTACTTATTGTGGTCATGACTGTTTGATTATTAGCAGTTCCTGGTAGCTGTGTATTGATAGGTCCCCGGACATTGCTTCTACCAGCATATGAAAGTTGGTATCCCCTTGATTCAGGGCCAGTTTGAAGGCTATTTCCCACTGATCCAAATGTACCTGTACCTATATTGCTATTCATGGAATTACTCTTCTGTTCATTGTGTGCCCCTTTGTTCTTCGGTCCTCGATAATCTGGGTTGGGCTCACTGAAATTTGGCACTTCTGAATAAACCATACAAAATTCTCCAATTTTTTGAAGTTCACCATCCCTTCCAGTAAAAAGTGTCAGACATCCTTTCCACATGGATGCGTATCGAGTTTTACCTGCAAGGTTGGGCTGCATTCCAACGAAGCTCACTAATATTAACACCAAAGGCTCAACTTGTTAACTATAATAAACAGACATTTATTTAGAAATTTTTCATGGACATGTTTTCATTTTGATTATATATGCAAGAATGGTCAAATATGTAAGAATAGTGTTGTTCTCTTATATGATAATTCTATGATCTTATTCATTTTTATTATTGAGTAGTATTTCAATTTATGAATGTACTATTATGTATAAAAAATACATCCAATTTTTAAAGAATGCAAGTGAAATCACTACAAACTTTTTGTACAACCGTTTGCATGAGGTTTTACTTTACTTGGACAGATACCTAGGAATAGAACTCTGATTCAAATGGTGAAATAAGTTTAACTTTATGAAGAATGGCCAAATTCTTGCAAAATGAAAACATTTTACCCTGTCACCAACAATTTATGAAAATCTCAGTTTATTATCTTTGTCAGCACTTTATATTTTCAATTTTTTTAAAGCCACCTTAAAATGTATATCACTTCGTAGTTTTTCTTGATTTTTTTTTCAGTATAACTAATAATGTTGAGCATCTTCTCTTATGCTCATTTATCTTCCTTACATCCTGTTTGGTGAATGACTTTTCAAATCTTTTGATAATATTGATTGTGTGACCTGTTTGGTTTTTATTGGTGAGTTCAAAAATATTTTATATATTCTGAATATAAGTCTTTTGATCTATGATACATAAACATTTTCTGCTTGAATATAAGTGGTCTTCTCATTCTGTTAAACATGACTTTTGCAAACAAGACCTTGACTGGTAATCTTTATGAAGTCCAACTTTTCAGTAGATTTTTATGAATTCTTCATATGATGTTATATCTTAGGACTAGCTATCTAACTTAAGGTCACCAAGATTTTCCTGATTTTTTACAGTTTGAAGTTTTATATTAATATCTATAATGCATTTTGAATTTATTTTTGTAATTCTTCCATAAGTTTTGAAATACGCATTAAGGGATGTCTGATTGTCCTGATAAAATAATCTCAGAAGATCTTCTTTGTTTCCATTTAATCCCCTTTGTATTTGCCAAAAGGTTTTTGAACATATTTGGATCTGATTGTATTATCCTCTTTACTCCATTTTACTGATCTATGTGTCTTTCTCTTCACAATGTTACACTGTTTGGATTAGAGTACCTTTATGAAATACAAATTAGTAGGGTGAGTAACCTAATTCAGTTTTTTTTTTCAAAAATTTCTTGGGCTATTTAAATTCCATTAATTTCCCATATAAATTTTATTATCTACACCACATATTTTTATTTTTTAATTTTCTTCTTTTCATCATCACCTTGACTATCCTTACAAACAATAGAAATAGAAATAATGTATAAAAACAATTATTCTTACTTTTAAAAAAATTGCCAGTTATCATGTTCCAGAAAATAATAATGTATACTTTTTTTTAATTCCCTGAAATATGGGAATAAAACTAGGGCTAAGGAAGTTGAAGTCATTAAAGACACTACCACTCTTAAGAAATGCTAAATATGTTGAACAGAAACCATAGAAAAGATGGATTGAGAGCATCTCAGAAATTGGCAAGGTCACACCCATATCAGGCTCAAGGGAATAAAAGTAAAAATTCTTTTGAGAAGTGAGCAGTGTGACATTTTTGTTACAGGAGTTGGGGAGGTGAGGGCTAGAAAGTTTTTACACTGTGCTTAGCCATGGATGTACTTTCAGGCTGCTGTAGCTGTGGTCCCTGGCAGATGCTCAAGATGGCAGCAGATCTTGGTAGCAATCACATGGTACTAGTTCTGCAGGATTGCTGGATGCTGGAGCTAGGAGGTCATGGAATCTCTCACCAAGATTTCAAAGGAAGGCCTGGGAGACCACGCAATTTTAAGTAGAGTTGGAGTTCCTGCAGGCGGTCCATGAGAGGGCAATATATGGAGATATGAAGAGGAAGTCAAAGTTGAAGTAGAGACTGCAGAGATTAAAAAATGCAGGACTATGAAATATTCTCCAAGGAAAGCTTCAGGAATTGAGCACAGTAAATCCAAGGTAGAGTCCACATGGGCTGCAACCAGCAAAGCCAGAGAGATGAAGCTACGCAAGCCCTTTGGAGGACAACATCATGATGTCATGTTCTCCAGATGCTAGGCATGGAACTACAGGACTTGTCTGCCCAGGTGGATTTTGCTCTTACTTTGATTCCGTCCCACATTTCTGTGCCCCCAATTTCTCCCTTATGAAATGAAAATGTTTATTTTGTACCCTAATATATTGGATATATGTAACTTACTTTTGGTTTTACAGGAACTCATGCCGAGAGTTTGCCTTGAGTCTCATAAGAGACTTTTAAACTTGAACTCTTGGGCAATCCTCAAATTGTTGAGACTATGGGGACTCTTGGAAATGAACTAAACACATATGCATTGTGAGAAGAGTATGACCGTTTGGGGGCCAGGGGTAAAACTTTATGGTTTAGATATTAGGTGTCCCTCAAGAATTCATGTATGGAACAATGCAAGAAAGTTTAGAGGTTAAATGATTTGGTTATGAGAGCCTTAACCCAAACAGTAAATTTATCCCCTGATAAGGATTAGCTGAGTAGAGTGTGGCTAGAAGAGCTGTGTCATTGGAGATGTGTCTTTGGAGCATATATGTTGTATCTTGCAAGTGAAGTCTCACTATTTTTCCTGGTGTAATTTCTTGAGCCACTTCCCTCCATCACACTCTTCCACCATGATGTTCACCTTCACCTCAAACCTCAAGTAATGGAGCCAGCTGTCTATGGACTGAGAGTTCTGAAAGCATGAGCCCCCAAATTAACTTTTTCTCCCTTTGTTCTTATCAGTTCTTTCAGCCACAGCAGTGAAAAAGTGACAAAAACATACCTAGTACTAGTAAGAAAACTTCTAGTAAGAATATTTAACAGTTTGCTGAATTCACAACGTGAGCCTAAAATCCTTGGCCACAAGACTGTGAACTCATTGGTACACAAAAAAATGGGAGAGTTACATTGCATTGCAGTCTCTTACTCTATGAACTCCATTAAGTACTCAAGAAAAATCAAAAAGGGGTCTGGGGGTATAGCTCAGTGATAGAACATGTGCTTAGCATGTAGGAAACATTGGGTTCAATCCTTAGTACGACATATACATGTACAAATAATTTTTTAAAATATTTTAAAAAAGAAAAAATATACCAAAAAAATAAACCTCTTGAATATATTTATTTGGCACAGAGGTAGAAGAGGAAAGTACCAGCTAAATTAAAAATTTTTCTTTTTTTATTTTTTGAGGTACTGGCGACTGGACCCAGGGTTCTCACATACAGGCACGCTCTCTACCACTGAGCTAAATAAATTAAAGAAGAAATAAATTAAAGAAGAAGTATTCTAACATTATTTTCGATGTCTGCTATTGAGCCAAGCCCGTCACATGTGGAGGGAAGGGCAATAAGCACTTCTATACTTTGTGTATTGGAAAATGCCATTTATAGATAGGGAAAGGGAAATTGTGGAATGCACAAACTTTTTAGAGAGCAAAGTGTTTATGTCCTGGACACACCACAATGCTCTCACTAAAGTAGAAAGTGGGACTATGATACCTATTTTTTTCAAAATGCTATTAGATTACAAAGTAAAAGATGTGAGCAAAATAATATCAGCTAATGAATTGATAAGGAAAAAGTAAAAACATTTGGCACACATAGTCTACTTGTACCTGGTCATACTGGCTGTCTAGAGTTAGTGGTTATATGTTCAGGAATTGTCTACACTAGTTCATGGATACCAAGAAATCATCTGTGGTGAGATTTCCATCATAGAATTTGACAAACTTTAAAAATCAGGATTTGGGGAATTTTTAATTTTCCAGGGGCAAGTAAGTAAAGGTTTGCCAACATACTACTAAGCATAACTACTTCCATTTAAAGATTATATAAGGGGCTGGGGATGTGGCTCAAGCAGTAGCGCGCTCGCCTGGCATGCGTGCGGCCTGGGTTCGATCCTCAGCACCACATACCAACAAAGATGTTGTGTCCGCTGAGAACTAAAAAAAAAATAAATATTAAAAAATTCTCTCTCTCTCTCTCTCTCTCCTCTCTCACTCTCTCTTAAAAAAAATAAAGATTATATAATACTGAAACTAGAAAATAAAAAGATAAATGAAAAAATGTAAATTATAAGTGAATAATGTGGGAGAGCAAGATATAAAATTAACCTATAAAATTAATAACAAATATATAGAGAAATAATGAAAGAAAAATATGATGCAAGAGAAAACTATTTACATTGAAAGGTATTTAAAATATAAAAAGTAAAATGGTGAAAAATCTTAAAACTGAATAGAAATAGAACAAAATAATATTCAAGTTCCATGATATAGTCATACAGAAATAAAAATAATCCAAGTATCTTGGGAAACAGTCTTATGACATTCTGTCTTTTATGTGACACAGTTGAAAGACAAAAGATCAAAAAAATAAATCTTAAATTTAACAAAGAATATTTGTTCCTAATGATGGTGTTTTGCAGTAATTCTGAAACAACGGTGTCTATTGTAAGATGAACCAAATGAGTTAGTATATTAGGGACCAGTGTTCTCACTATGATTAAAAAGAGCTAAAAATACAAAATGGCAGGGTCAGGAAGAAACCTGTGCCAATAGGTCTGAATTAGAGATATCAATATTAGTTTATGATTTCAATAAAAATGTTTAACTCTATTCTCTAGAAGTCTATAATGAATAAACTTAACAGCAGTATATTGATTTTTAAATATTATTCCTCAATAACCAGGGCTTCTTAGGGAAATATCTGTTTCTATGTAAGAGATGGAAAAGAAACAGAAAACAAACAAATTCTCAGAAACTAACAGGAAGCTATCAAAAGGAGCAAATACTTGCTAGATTTGTGACCACTAGAGCATTAAACTTAATAATGATGATATTTATAACACACTGAATAAGAGTCCTAAAAGCCAAGTTAGAGTCAATATAATATCAAAATGAGAAAGAAAAAAAATGATTACAAACAAGGAAAGA